AAAAAAAATGTCAAAAGGCTTTTAAACAAAATAAGTTTGTGCGGTAGCCTGTCACTCAAAACTGTAACAGCATCAGTGCTGAATAACTGCATTTCAAGTTCAAATTTGTATTCATTTAATTCACAACAAAACAATACAATGAAAAAATAAAATGAAAGGCAGCAGAAGAAGAGACAATTTCTTATGTCTGCTCCTTTAAATATATATATATATATATATTAAACTGGAATCAATAAATACTGCACTTATTTGCCTATTTTTCTTACTGCTGAAAGTAACATGTATTAAAGTTAAATAGTGGTGAGACAAAATCATAAGTTTGCACCTCCACTTTAAAAAATGGTGGTGCAGCTGCTCCACTTATTGTATTGATCAGGGACTCATGCATGGATGTCTGCATGGTGATTTTGTTACACTTTGTTCCAGAGCAGAAAAAATATACTTTCATAAAACATGTGCATAATTGTTTACATTGTTTGTGCTTTTTGAAGGTAATATTAGGATACAAATACACATAACTGCAAAGCAGGCTACAATACTTGAACCCCTGTATTGTCCAGTTTAACATAATTCTTTTTCATATCCTGACTTCTTCATGCAGACATCTGTGAACAGCTGCAGAAAGGACTGCAGTGTCTATATTTACCCACTTGGTGGAAGTGTTTAATCAGCAACAGTTTCTGCCAATAAATAAACACTTACTGTACATCTAAATGTAATCTGCTGTTTATTCAGGCAGTTTGTCAGCAATGTTAAAGTAGCATCATTGCAAACACACCTGTCCACTTAGACGTCACTTTATCATATGACCATATATGAGCAACATAAATAATGATTTTGCCTTGAGTTTGATGTAATTAGCATTTCCTGTTTTGAGCGAGCTGGAATCATTGATTAGTTCAATGTCACAGCTGCTCATATTGCCTCTCCTTTATGATTGCTCCTATAAATAAACTACCCATAAATTGTTTTATGTGAAATCAGCAAATGAAGTTTCAGTTGTGTGTCTTTTTTGTCCTACAAAAAAAGACCAAGTGCTTCTATCTTTGATTTTTTTTTTTTTGCGTTTCACATGAATTTAACCCACTTTATGAGTCACAACTCCACAATTAACTGTAATAAATAGGTTAAAGCTGTTAGTGAACATTTTTTTAATTCCATGTAAAACCATTTTTTCTGCAAAGGCTTTAAAAACAGGTAACATGTAAAAAGCAATTAAAACTCGGGTGGTATTTTCAGGCTGAAAATGCACATTGTTTTCAGCACCTTATGTAGAAAAAAAAGGACAAATTTATAATTAAAAAAATTCTTAACATATTATTTATTTGTCAGGAGAAATACTTAAAAATTTTTGCTAAAATTTCAAAGCCAAAATTTTGTCATTACTCAATGAACCGCGAGAAAATAATCAGTTTTCCAGGAAAATTCTTGTTGAATTAATATAAAGTGTTAAATATTCAGTACATTTTCAAAATATACCTGGTGGTTGAGGACAACAAAGAGGAGAAGAAGCAGGAGTTTAATCCTCTGGTGCCAGGATGGCAGCTGGGTCTGCATGGTGCTGTATGTTCACATTAAAAACACTTGGATGGTTTGACACTTCACACCTCTTCCCTGCAATCCCCAGACAACTCGCTTATTCCTGCTGCAGGTTCTTCACTTTCACTTGGCCCAGTGGAAAGTTACAGTTTAGTTGAACTTGACCTCCTGGTAACCCTTTTTGATGAACCTTTGAAAGAGTTTGAGGATTATTTGCAGGAATCGTGATGCTCATCAAAGCTGCTGTCCGGCTTTCCTTGGGATTTCCAAAAATCTTCTTGATCCGCTGATTTGGTCCAAGGATCCAAACAATTACGACACATCTTGATCACAAATAAAAAATTCTTTATATTACAGATGAATCCTCAGTTGTCTATGAGAAAAGGCTTTGGCTCAGAGGGAGGTAGATCTGTCTGTACTTACTATGGACACTGAACAACTGAGAGCGCCTGAGATCCTAACTGACAAATTGCCTCTCCCTCCCCATCATCCCCTACCAATCAAGACAAGGGCCTGAGAGAGATGGCTCTACAACCGGAGACGGACTTTGTTATTTAGAAAAACTGATTTCACATAAGCAAATGGGTAAAAATTCTAATGTATTAATAACAATTACAAAGAATAATACAGATGTATGGAATCCAGTAAATACCATCTGTAGTTTTCACCAATTGTGAAGACACTAAGCCCATCCCTCTCCAGCTTTTTCCCAGGCTTACTGAGCATCAAACTGCATCTCTGACACTGATAGGGTTCTTAGTGTAAACTAAAAGCCCTGAAGCCAAACACATAAAAGCAAACAGAGGGAGCAAAGACACAAAGGTGCCAGCAAAGACTCTTGTATGAACTATGTCTTGCAGAATAGTACTTTAATTCTGGTAGTTTATAACAAGTTTAATTTGCAAGGGATACATTTGTAGTTCAGTTTTATCTCAGTTTCATTAGGGTATAAAATGAGAATAAACTCACAGAACATTGAGTTTTCTGTGGAATTTACAAGGCTGTGAAAGGCTATACTCATAATGAAAATATCTAAAATAAACGCTAAATTTAAAATATGAATACATTTCCTGACTCGCCCCTCCAAAACAACCCAAATCACTTTTACGTTCATCAAACCAATCTTTCACCAGTCTTGCTGTGTGTATTGGTGCATTGTCATCCTGATACACGGCACCGCCTCCAGGATACAATGTTTGAAACATTGGATGGTCCTCCAGAATGGTTCGGCAGTCCTAGCACAAGTATTGGGCCAAGGGAATCCACCCCCATGCTTCACGCTGGGCATGCAACAATCTGGGTGGTATGCTTCTTTGGGGCTTCTCCACACCATAAGTCTCCCGGATGTAGGAAAAACAGTAAAGGTGGACTCATCAGAGACAGAGTTGTAAAGTAACTAAGTACAAATACTTTGTTACTGTACTTAATTAGAATTTTGGGGTGTCTGTACTTTACTTGAGTAATTATTTTTCAGCCTACTTTTTGCTTCTACTTCTTACATTTTTACACAACTATCTGTACTTTCTATTACTTCCATTTTTAAAAAAAGGCAAGAAGTAGAAAGTCGTTACTTAGATTTCATTTTTGCTTGTTTTCATTCCAGCTTGTTATTGTAAAAAAATAAATATTATCTATATAAATTGTACCTCCTAGATAGAGTGAATTTAATTGTGGCTGAGAATGAGAAGTATAAATATATAAAATTCTGATACTGTATTAGTTTGTACACAAAAAAAATCATGTCACACTCCAGTAGGACATAATCATTAAAATAAAAGGACTGTACTTAAGAAGTGTTTATATTTCATGAAATACAAACACTTGGCATTTGGCCACAGACCTCAGATAGATTTCCATTTCGGGGAACAGGTTTGGACACCCTTGATATAGTATATGTATATAAACTTATACAGCTAAACAAGTGCATCCTAAATTTAACATTAATTATTTTTAATACAATATAGTCATTTCTTTTTTTTTTCTTTTTTTTTTGGAGGGAGGTCACCTCCTAATAAATGTCCTTAAMGCAAAATCTAACTGCTTATTTCAAATCAATACTTTTACTTTTTATACAAAAAATATCAGATACTTTAAGACTTTTACTCAAGTAATATTCCTTTTTTTGGTAAGTAAAGTAATATTCCTAAAGGAGACTTTAACTTTTACCAAAGTAATTTTTTTGGTAAGATACTTCTACTTTCACTCAAGTATCACTTTGTGGTGCTTTGTACTACACTGATCAGAGAACACTCAGAGAATGCATGTTTCACATTGTCCACAGCCCAAGATTTGCACTCCATGCACCATTGAAACCAATGTTTAGCATTGGCACGAGTGACCAAAGGTTTATTGTGTATATTGACCCTGTGGAGCTCCTGACGGACAGTTCTGGTGGAAACAGGAGAGTTGAGGTGCACATTTAATTCTGCCATGCCTTTCAGACAGCTTCTCTTGCGTCCACAGTTGATCCTGTTGGATATGGTTCGTCCTTCTTGGTGGTATGCTGACATTACCCTGGATACTGTGGCTCTTGATAAATGGTAAATGGGCTGTACTTATATAGTGCTTTTCTATCCATCCATGACACTCAAAGCACTGCACACTACAATCTGTGTCCTCATTTACCCATTCACACAGCACTCTATTAGGTCTCTACAAAGCTAACATGTACAATCATCTATGGAGACTAATCAGTGCCAATCACATTCATACACTGATGGGACACACATCAGAGGCATTAGGGGTGAAGTGTCTTGCCCAAAGACACAACAACTGAGACAGCTGGACGGGGGATCGAACTGGCGACCTTCTGGTTTCTAGGACGACTGCCCTAACCACTCTGCCACAGCCACTCCAGAACATCACAAAGACTTGCTGTCTTGGTCACAGATGTGCAGCAAGACTTGCACTAGCAATTTGTCCTATTTTGATCTCTGGTATGTCGCCCAAAATGTTGCGTGCATTGCAATATTTTGAGCAAAACTGTGCTCTTATCCTGCTAATTGAACCTTCACACTCTGCTCTTACTGGTGCAATGTGCAATTATTGAAGATTGGCCACAACTGGTCCTATTTAGCCATGAAACCTTCCACACTAAAATGACAGGCGTTTCAGTTTCATTGTCCAACCCCTGTAGAGCCACCCACGTACCAGAGCTCACACATGGGTTGCGGCTGTTTAAGATGTTCTGGTATTTATGTAAAGCTTGACTTTAGAATGGTCATTACAAATTAAATATTTTGTCGATGGAAAAAAACCTGATATGTTCTTGATAGTTTATTTAGTTTAAAACAAAGGCACAAGTAAGTGATTTTTCTCTTTTTGAACTAAACTTTAAACTTTAAGTTAAACTGAGGCARCACAATCAATCTGCACATGGATCTTGCTCCTTCCTGTCTATCGACCAATAGGAGAGAAGCTGACCCAAGAAGGACCGCCCACCTTATTTGCTTAATGAAGCAGAAACACATAAGGTAAAGTAAAAACCGAGTGATAGAAAAATGGGCCAACACCACATAAACCAAACCACAACTGGGCCAGTTATGGCATTGACAGACTTGGGCCACATAAATCAAATAATTGCCAGACCTGGCCCACATCCTGTTAATAAACCACTTGCTGTGCCAGTAGTGCCAGCTTGACATCAGATCTGGCCCACATCTGCTATGTGGGTATTTTGTACCAGTATTTTTCCAGTGGCTCAATTTTTAGAAAACAATCAAAAATTAGGAAGAAAAAAATWATGTTTTTTTCTTTTTCTCAGCATGTCTCAGCCTCTCATTTATTTAAATTATCCATGTTTATGAAACCAGCAGAGTTCATGATATCAAATTTTACCTTCACGGGTTTTCATAATAACCGTGGAAAAAAGGATGGGCAAGATTATTCAAAGACTAAGTCAATATATAAGAGGCATATCTACTAAAGATACATTATTATCTGTTTTGAAATGAACCTCAATGATGCATCTTGTGGAAATATAATCATGTTTTTAATATAAAGTTTTTAAATTTTGCTGCTGTATGGATGTGATAATCCTCTGCAGAGAAATAATTTATGTGGCATATCATTGTTTCAGGACCAGATTGCTAGCCATTTTTTGTGACTCGGATATAAATCTAACCTTGAAATTAAATTTCTCCCAGCTCTATAAGCATGGCAATATAGAGTTGTGACAGGGCCATATGTCCTCCCTGTGTGCCTAAATAACAGACCTTAGAAAAGAACTTTGGTGAAAAAGGAAAAACACATCAATCAGAATATTGTTCTGTAATTTGAAAAGTGTTCAATTGTAGTAACACAGTTAGAGGTGCAGCCTAAGGGTTCTGGAGTGATGGTTAAAGGGTAATGTCAGCCTTTTTTCAAAACTGCTTAATGCTTTCACAGTTCAAAATATTTCTAATAATGCTTCTTTTGGAAGGTTACACTTGTAAGAGTCTCATCAGGAAAACAGATAATGAATATTTAGAATATGTCATCCTTTCAATTAAACTACCACAGTGATTTTGGTCCATTCAATCTTTTCTTCAGAGGGTTGCAAAAGAATATTCTGATTTTATTCTATTGCTTTATAACTTGAAATACTGAATAATTGGATTTTTGAACAATTTATACTGTAGTAATAGATCAACACAAAATACTCCAGATCATTTAGGTTTAATGAGGAAACAACTTACTTTCAGAAAGAAAGAAAGAAAGACAGAAAGAAAGCAAGCAAGAAAGAATGAAAGAAAGAAAGAAAGAAAGCAAGCAAGAAAGAAAGAAAGAAAGAAAGAAAGAAAGAAAGCAAGAAAGAAAGAAAGAAAGAAAGACATTATTTCACATTATTTCATAAAGCACATGTGTAAATGTAAATGTATCAAATGTAACTTCTGTAAGTCCCGACAAGAGACTCCCACCCCCATTTAGTCAGTTGTAGTACTTTTCACTGTTAATAAGAGGATGTGCTAAAACACTGTTTCTATGCAGGAAATACCATGTAGATCTGTTATTGTTTGTTAGAGGTGCTCAGACATAGCAAAGAGACAAGTTTATTTTTAGTCAAATTTAAACATTAAACATTAAAGTCACCTACAACTGGTCCGAGGGCCACCATAACACTCATTTGGCCCTCAATAAAAATGAATTTGACACTCCTGTATTAGAGCAAGGAATTTGAGATGAGAATTACTTGCAGTTACTAATATCCTTCAGTTCAAATGAATTGGCTAATGTTGATTAGCTGTGGTGGCCAACTTAATTTTGGTTGAGGTTCATCTGGGGATGTCCATCCTGGTCC